TGCCCTCATGTAAATTTTAGTTGTCAGACTGTTAATTCTGTACTTTGTAAATAAAAGTAGTTTGAAATAATTTAAATATTAAACCAAAATGAAAAAAAATATTGTCTTATATATCATTTGAATTTTCGAAACTTTAATATCACTGCAAAGAAATTGTAGAGAGCATTAATTCACATCATAACAATGTACCTCAAATTATAGTACACTTGTTCTTCCCCATTTTCCTTTTTTTAGTTTTAAGTGGCAGACTCTGTGGTGTTCGTTATCATCAATCTTTTTTATTCTTTCAAAAAAGACGTTCCTACACCTTTTTGAAACTTCTACCAGAGAAGAAGAAAACACTTGCTTCTTGCCGTGGCGTTTTATCAATTTACAAAAGTCATGGTAGATATGCAAGTCGATGGGCCAGACATAAAGATGGCGAGCTTTAAATAAAAGATACCACAGAATCTGACACACCTGACAGGTACTTATTCAGTTTGGATATTTTACTACAAAAAGTCGTTTATGATAATCTAACAACAAAACATTATGATTTTTTTTTTATATGTGATGACTTTAAAATTTCAACCGTCAACTTTCCTTACCTATGCAGCAGTATACTTTGTCACCTGTTTCTTGGGTTTATATCAATCAGTTGATTCGATGTGAACATCCTCTACTAGGTAAGTTATTAACTGACAATCAAGCTGATTAAACGAGAATAACAACGGACTCGTTTATAGTCATCATTTCGTAAGTTCTATTGTCGATATAATGACCTTGTCACCATATTCAATTTATCATTAAGTCAAATATTATTGCTGACTGAAGTTTTTCATACTAATTATTAGGCCATTTTGTACACTTTATTCACTGAATAGTAGGCGGACGTTTTCGTTATTTCCCGAGCATGACAAACAGCACACGGCGGATGTGACCGTAACGCAGGAAATTCTTACTCCTCCATTGCACCTGTTTCTACTTCTGAGGTTTTAGAGGCCCTCTGGAATTTACTTGGGTCCTTGTTTGTGTCCTATTCACACATTTGTATTGTTTGTAATTTTTATACACGATGTACAATAGATCACGGTTTTTTTCTTTAATTGTCCTTTTTATTCTATAAAAGGCATTGTTTCTCTCTTTAAAAAAGCGTTATCACGTCTTTCAACAGTACGTAATCACGCCTGTTTAAAATACGTAATAAAGCAAAATTCAAAGGCATACTAACGGAGTAAAAAAGTGTAATAATATTTTTTCAACAGAGAAAATAATACACATTAAAAGGCATGTGATAAGGAAAGAGTTTACTATCATTATGCACGCAACATATATATGTTAAGGAGTAAATTAGGAAGATTTAATTCGTTTAATAAAGCTTTTCTGAATATTCTCAATAGTACTCCTTTCCAGTTTGGGTAATTACGGCTATACTTTTTCCCATTGGGTTGATCCAATTATAAAATATCTTTTGTAGCAATAGTTGATATTTGAGGGTTATAGAAATTGGGAAAATGTAACTTAAAATATTCAATTATAATTAATACTTTCGAAAAGGATTATTGCTCTTTGCCAAGCATTATTGAATCACTAAGGTCGGATTCTTAAACTCAAGAAATGTAGTCATTGATGCAATTTTTGTTTAAATAAGTTTAATTGGGGCATTATCTGTATTTCTAATAAACAAAACAAAATGCGATTAAAAATGTTATTTATTGGTCCATTTGGGACTTACGTATCATACAGATTAAATGCATTAAAATTGCAAACAGTCTGTCAGAAAATGACGATTTGCATGTTCTGGGAATCTTCTTTGAAACAATACTAAATTGAATATGAGTAATATTTCAAGATTACTTTTCACATCAGTTCAAGCTATACTTAAAGTACTCACTAAAGTATGTTCGATTTTCTAAATATGTCAATACAAACAAAAATTGTGCATGGATTGGTATATCTTATTGGGTCAATATTTGTTGAAAATAAGGAAAACTATATTAAAGAATTGTACCTCTCTGCATGCAGTCATCCAAGTTAATCTATACAAATTTTTGTCACTTCTAATGTTCCACAAGTGTGAAACTTTGAATAAAAACTTTAAAAACTATGCGCTTTTAAATTTAATTATATAACAAGAGGCCCAGGGGCCACATCGCTCACCTGAGCAATTGGCTAGGAAAATGCACATATCAGATCAGAACTGCAAGTTTACTGACGTTCATTTTTTTCTTCTTCATTATATCTACCCAATCTTTTATTGTTATATTTCCCTATATATTCCAATGTAAAACTATATTTGTAACTGCACCTGTAGTTATTCTTTAATTATCTTCTACTTTATGTCAACCACTTTCTTTTGTTTGTTTTTTTTCTTCACATACATATTGTACATCTTTAAGATTCCTTCCGTATAATTAGAACGTGTTTCATTTGTGTAATTTAACATGATTTCATATTCAATATGTATGTCAATCTCAAATATTGTTGTAATACAGCTCAAAACCGTGTTATGTAACTATCTAATAAGGGTCTGTCATCTTTATCATTAATAATTAGGAAACGGATTAGTATATTTTTGAAACTTGTTTCCGAATCCTTTTTGATCTTTGTACTTCTTGCCTGTATTTCTTGCTTGTCATGTTCAAATAAAATATGGTTTAAACTAAAAGGCGTTATCACGTCTTTCAAGAGTACGTAACCACGCCTGTTTAAAATACGTAATAAAGCAAAAATTCAAAGGCATACTAACGGTGTAAAAAGGTGTAATAATATTTTTTCAACAGAGAAAATAATACACATTAAAAGGCATTTGATAAGGACAGACATTACTGTATATATATGTTAAGGAGTAAATTAGTAAGATTTAATTCGTTTAATAAAGCTTTTTTGAATATTCTCGATATTACTCCATTCCAGTTTGGGTAATTACGGCAATAATTTTCCCATTGGGTTGATCCAATTATAAAATAGCTTTTATAGCAATAGTTAATATTTGAGGGTTATAGAAATTGGGAAAATGTAAGTTGGAATATTAAATTATAATTAATACTTTCAAGGATTACTGCTCTTTGCCAAGCATTATTGGATCACTAAGGTTGGATTCTTAAACTCAAGAAATGTATTTTTAATGTAATTTTTCGTTTAGATAAGTTTAATTGGGCCATTATATGTATTTCTAATAAACAAAACAAAATGCGATTAAAAATGTTATTTTATTGGTCCATTTGGGACTTCCGTATCATACAGATTTAATGCATTAAAATTGCAAACAGTCTGTCAGAAAATGACGATTTGCATGTTCTTGGAATCTTCTTTGAAATAATACTAAATTGAATATGAGTAATATTTCAAGATTATTTTTCACATCAGTTCAAGCTAAAGTATTAGAGAGTAGGTGTTGATTTCTATTATGTAAGGACAGATAATACAAACAAAAGAGAGATGCATGGATTGGTATAATATTATTGATTCAATATTTGTTGAAAATAAGGAAAATAATAAATTCGGATATATTAAAGAATTGTACATCCTCTATGATGTTCAAAATTATACCTCTCTGCAACCATCCAAGTTAATCTATACAAATTTTTGTCACTTTTGAATAAAAACTTAAAAAACTATACGGTTAAACTTGTTTAATTTAATTATATAAATAGGACTTAGGTTGTTATTTTAAATGTTTTGATAAAAGTTTGTATAATCCGTCGTTAACAAATAAAATGTAATGAGAAGAAAAAAACAACAAAGCAATAAAAGGGTAAAACAATAATCATTTATTTGACAATAACAAATTCAATTTTCTGTCATTCGGACGAAAGGACCTGGAATTCCTTCCTTATTTTAAAATTCTATAGGGAAGGGGTTGTGTATTACACTTGAAATTCACATCCTTATAATGATCACCAACACAATATATAGAGGAGGAAAGTGTAAATAACTTTTTTTTTAAATATAATGTTCGATTCTTTCATTTCATTTTGTATTCTGAAATTTTTTTTAATGCAATACAAATTTTATAATAACATAAAATTAAAGAAAAAAACCCACTCCATCATATAATTATCACAGAGATTCCTGATGTACACAACCCAGGTCTTTGTTCATATCCTGTTTGTCGTCCATAACTGAGAACGGATCACGAAATGTACGCTTTACTATAAACAAATTTTCATAAATATATATTCCATTTCCTTAATAAAATTAAATGCTCTGTAATGTTAGAAAGTTTAACAAGGATTGTTAATTGTCCAAAATATACTTAAAAACGAAATTCTTGTGTTTATGGATTCGACGGATTTCATTCATATTCAGCTCAGTTTTATTTAGATATGGACGCTCTACAGCTTTGCATTTTAATACACTTGATAAATAACCCAAAAAAGAATATTAATCGGAAGTTTTCTCTCATTATTTCTAGAGAATGGATTTTTTGTGATTTGCAGCCTCTAGGAAATTTAAGACAGCTCGTTTGACTGAAACATAATATAACGAAAATTAATAAATCTCTGTTAAGAAGAATGCATCCTTACTCGAGGGATATCTGCATCTTTTGGGGGATCAATAAATGAGATAATCGTTCTAATAATGTCTATTTCTGTTAGTTGATTTGTGCAGACTTTATATGGATATAGGCACTTCTGTTTAATGGTTTTAAGACATGAAGAATCCTTCAGATAAGGTTCTAGAACAGAGAATGTTTTTAAATAATTAATTCAATTACAACTAGAGGTACTCTGAGCAATGAGCTCACTAAATGATACCCCCCGCCTCCCACATGATTATAACTGATGACAAAGTCCATGTTTTGCTTAGGCCGGGGAACCCAAAATGTGTGTCGGATCAAAAAGTTAAATAGATATGCACAATGACAATATATAATAAAGATTCTGTGAAAGTTTCATTAAATTTCACTCATTGGTATAAGAGGAGTTGCGGATAAGAAATGGGTACCCTAAAGCGTAACAGACGGACGGAAATCCCGATTACTATATACCCTCCCACTTTTCAAGCGGGGGTATAAATATTCATTGAAATGAGTTGTTTTGAAATTTTTAAAAGTAAAAAGAAACTGTATCAAACAAGTACAAGTATAGATTCTAAGAACCAAGATTAATAGTGAAATAGGAGAGAACTGTGATATTATAATAGGACGTAACGTAACAGTATGGGATTGAGGCAATTTTACAATCATAAACATCTTAGCACCAAAACTGGTTAATTAACACCATTGGGAAGCATTTCAGACAAAATATGCATTTGTGTTATTAGAACAATCCAAATTACCTCGTTAGAGTTTTACTTGTTTTGATCGTTTGAATTCAAATGGGATAAGCTTTTTTTCTGCACACAAACATACCCCGGGTTCAAAATAGTTCTCGATAAAATGTTGACATGGTATATATCGGATTTATACCGAATACAGATCTAGATGAAAAATATCAAAATGTTTGATGCTTTTTGAGTCCCATTAAACGAAAAGTTTACAATATAAAAACAATCCAATCCCTAACGTTAACAGTCTTATAACTTTTCATAAAGAACTGCATTCGGCAAATATCTTACTTAAAACATAATCTTTGTTCAAAAGTTATCCAGAAAGAAAGATATATAAAGTAGAATTTGAATAATTACCCACATTCCTATGATACATTTGTAATTCTAACTCGACTCATACAGATAAAATGTTTAAACAACGAGAACAAAAGATTGATGTCACAGCAATGTTTTAAGTGGCATTATAAATAAGACCAAATTTTCAACAATAAATGTTAAGATATCACAGTTTTTCATCAAAAGAATTACTGACGTCATTTTCGTCGACAACGTGAACAATGACGTCATCTGTAGAGTAATGTTCGTCATCTAAAGACTGCTGACGAGATAATCTTGATGACGTATTAGTATCCTGGCTATCAGATCGCAGTCTGACTCTTAGACGCCTATCCTCCCTATGAGATGCCGCCTCCTCCTCGGGAATGTCCTCTAAATACTGATTTCTGGCCTGAGACAGTTGCTGGAGGATTTCCTCCTCACCCGATGGTTCCTCTAATGAGGAATAAGCACTTTCTGTCAATAACGGTGCATTTGAACTCTTTCTGTTTTCACTGTTATCTTGCCTACTTAAAACATCATGAGGATTTCCCCCATTTTGATTAATATCTACACTGTTTGTTTGTGCTAATTTACTGAGCAGCAATGATTGTTGTTTGATCAGGTGGTTCATTTTCTGCTCCATCACGTCCATCTTTTCACAACATTCTTTCGTTTCCTGTTCTCGTGATTGTAAATGATTTAAAATTTCATATCTAAAACTTGAAATATCCTGTTTTACTTCATCGAAATCTGTAAATGATTAAAAAACGAATTTAAAAGTAGTCAAGAGATGGACAAAAACTAAAGGGATTGAACATACTTTCACTTTAACTACGTCTACAATAGATAAGCTTCATATCCAGTATTACTTACCATCATTACTGTCATTTTCTCTCTGCATGTCAAATATGTATCTTTTGACAATTCTTTTCATTACCCTCTATAAAAACAAAAATACATTTTAGTACCATTGAGAATTACTTTATTTACATTGCAAAAGGCATAGAATGACTCACCTTCACGCACAGAGGTAAATTAACTACGAACTTAAGTTTTCATTTACCTTATACGTAAGTTTTTCCTCAAACAAATTTGGTTCAGAATCACTTCTAACAAAACCATTAGTTGTTTGCATTCTCTCTCGGAATCTCTTTATACCATTAGCTTGACGCTGAGATTGCACTGTATCCCAACCTGATGTCTAAAACGACACACTTCAGTATTACTAACAGAGGACTAAAATAAGAATATGTTTGTATAGCAAAAAAAAATGATTTTAAACAATGTGTTGTTGCTACTTGAATTTTAAGTCGAAAAGAAGCCATTGCATTTTCCTCACCGTTGCAGTCGGACTAGTGGCAAAAAGTTCTACATCTTTGATTCGCCCTGGGTGTGGTCTGAGATCCCCTGTCTCTCCCTTACAAAAACAGTGACTAATGCGAGATAATAGTTTCCATACAGACTTTGGGGAGGGAACCATGTTAAATGGAATGGGCAGTGTTGCCCCTGACTTTATATAGTCCATGTAAAGCTTACTGCGGGCAAACTTCCACTCCGTGTCCGAATCCTCCTGAATAGAGAGAGGTTAAGTGGTTTTAAATAAATCAAACCTTTAAGCATGAGATACTAGAAATACGTATTCAAAGGATATATAATATTATGCTGTTAAAATGAAGATCTCATTCAAAGTCCATGAACTTGTAGTCTTTAATTTGTTACCTGTATAAGTTCAAAAGATCTCGACATCATGGCAATTAACATATTCAGAAGCACGATAACACTGCACCAGTTGTATGCACCAAATATCCAGTATCCAACATATTGAGTAAAAATGTGATTAAACTCATCCAACTCCACAATGGTGGCATCTCCTCTCCCAAATAGGGACCAGAACACTGTTCTCACGGTTTTGTCTGGACTGAAGAAAGTATATAATTTATCAAATGTTCCTAAAATAGCTAATATTTAATCATATCTAACTCTTTTCTTCAGGGCTAAAATTACTCAAGTTCAAAATTAGGTTGGAATTATTTGCTAATATATAAGAAAACATGTATAAGAAATCCTTACATTCCAAACGCCTCCTCTGCACGAACTGTGATGTTATTTTGCATAAACTCAACTTTCTCTCGCACTTGTTTTGGGTAGTACCAATACAGATTATGTAAACCAACCATGAAGGCCACCAGAATCACCAGAAAGATCGCTAAAAATTTTATAATGTCCTGTAAATTGAGAGAAAAAATCAATCAGAACTTCTTGAGGATAAATAAGAGATAAATAGTTAGTAAGGTTTGCATCCAATACCCTGCTTTTTTACCTTCACCCTGACTTTAGTATCATATAAAAAAGTTTTCAACAGCTTGTATATTTGTTTGGACTACTCTTTATCGGGTAATTCAGTAGACCATAATCATGAACATAGATAGGTTTTCAAACTTCAAATCCTTTTAACATTTATTAATAAACAGAACTGTTACATTTTTTTCAGATGGCGATATTGGTTTAATTGTTAAAACAAGGTCCAAAGGAAAAAGGTTTACAAACAGAAGAAAGGGGCCAATTTATTAAAGGTGAATTCACCCTTTAGTTCAGATAACCAGTCTAAATACACATTTGATTTGGGATTTCAAAGTTTTTGTTCATCAAAGCATGGTTCATTATCTATGTTTTTGCAATGATTTTAAAACTTTTTGCCCTTTAACAGTAAAGTACAGTGTACTTTGAATCTTCGAACTTTCACAATGCTTACCGTCATCATTCGAGCTATGGAGATCTGCATGGGACCAAACATTTCATTGGCTGGCAGAATATACGAGACTCTGGTAAAACTGATGACATTGGCAATGGCGAACAGTCCCTCTGCAATATTATGGGGGTCTAGGGAATCCCAGTAGAACCTGTCTAAAATACAAGTACCGTATAAAATGAGGTCTCGTTAGCAAGAAAGAATCCTTACTGCTCCTAAATCTATTTTACTCTTCTCGCTCCATGCATATAGTGTCATTGCTTCAAATGAGAAGACCTACTGTGGAGCTTTTTTTTCAACTGAGGTTTCCTTCTACAGGAAATCCCCCTTTTTATAAACTTTAATTTCGATTTAATGGATAGAGCAATTCCATGCATGTTTCAACTTATTTAAACTACACATAGTAAGATCACAACACAGTATTAACGACCCCATTCATAAGAAAGGGCGAGTACTATGTAAAAGATAAAAGCCCCCTCTAATACTGACGACGATTAAGGCATTATTATCTCTTGCATATTTGAGAGTAAAAGACCACGATCCCAGAGTCAAAGATTTCAGCATCATTTGAACGGTTGATTATTCAAAAGGCAAATCTCTATTTTTAAAGCTAATAAAGATTTATACAAATGCAAATAAGAAAATGTTTTGTAATTCCCAATTTATATGTAAAATAGAATACGTAATCTAATTGTGATTTGTCCAAAACATTTAAATAGCACTACCCTATAATGTTTTGTTATATTATCACACTTCATAGAGTGTTAATAGACTATAAATTTAGGAGGCTACTGTGGAGGGGGTGAGGTCAGACTCTCCAACTAGTTTTAAAGTAAGTCTTCCCACAAGAAAGCGTGGATCCAGAGTGATACTTCGCTGCAGATTCTCCTGCTTTAGATGGAATCTCCCCTAGCTGGGGGTCGTAGTGCACATTGTCTAAGGGTGTCTTACTCTAGTGCATGATTTCCGGGTGATTATTACTAGTTGGAGGGGGCTTATAACACACACATTTATATGATATCTCAAAACAATCATTAAATTTTATATTCTCAAACTACTTCTTGAAAGTATTCTCACCTGCAATGATCCAGTACATCTGTTGTGCTGCTGTCCGATCACTCCTTAACAACAATTCCCAAGGTTCATGAGTTTCAAAATATTTTAAAGCAACGTTTACCTGAAAAATGAGCATTTTTAAGATTACATTCCATGGCTTGTTTCTATAAGGGGTCCTCATACATACTTCCTTTCAATGAAATTTAATAATGAAATGAAAATTAAATTTCAATGTATCGGATATTATGCACAAAATTGACATTTATTGAAAATCCCAGCGAGGAAGATCAAACAAGTTTCATTCTGAACTTAAATTCAAAGATACCAAGACTTCAAATATTGTTAATGATATTTGAATGATATTTGCCTATTCTTATTCTGGAGACGTACCTTCCAAATGCAGACGTATCTAAGAGTGAATGATGACAGATAGAGAGTGAGCACGGCCACATCCAGGTAATTATACAAAGAATCAAAGTAGTCGTACAGGCCCTCACTAAATACCTGCTTTATCTCCTGCCAAAGCATACCTGATAAAAGTAAATAGATTTTTAATAGCCAAATTGAAAAAAAAAAAAAAAAAAAAAAAAACAGAAACGAAAGAAAATAATGATTACGATGTATATAGATAAAGGGTTTTATACGATTCTGAGACTAAAATTTGGAAACATGCTTTATACTACTGAAGTGTACAGGTTTTCAGAAATTGTCCAGTGAAATAAAATTGATCTCTTTTTTGACAGCTGTTCCGTTTAGGTACATACAATGAAACTCTACTTATATCTTGCTTTTGCTTAAGTTTTGCAAAACAAGTTGAAAAAAAATTATCACAAGACTAAGGTTCAAAGTTTCTCGAGAAAACATAATGGTATTTTCAAACAGTTTCTCGAAATGTTAACAAATTGCACACTTTTGTCTAGAACTCCGTTTGATAATCGCACTAAAAGTCATGAAGAATATGTAGTTGTTCCTAGTAAAACAGAGGTTGTATTCATGTTAAATATGTCAAACATCTTAACCAGAACTATTGCTTTTAGTAGACCCTTTGTGTAGATACTTTTACCGTGAATTCTACTTTCTTTGTTCAGCATGTTGTTCAGCATGTTGAAATTAAATAGTCTACAGTATACTGTGAAATCACAAATTTTCATGGGAATTTAATTTTCGTTAATTTCGAGGCGTGAAGAGACTCACGAACTCATGTCTACTAAGAAATGTAAACTGTAACAAACATTTCTATTCAACAATTCTTTACCCACGAAATTAAATCCCAACGAACTAAGAGTTTTTCCTCAAACCACGAAAATTTGACTTCACGAAAAATGTGATTTTATGTACAGTATATATACAGTGAAGAGAGAGTGTTCAAAGAAACCTTATTTTATTGTCTGTAAAATTTATTAGTCTGTAAAATATTTCAAACACAAACAAGATTTCTATATCTCACATACAATAATGTCCAGATGAAATATATTCTTCATTTTCGTTAAAATAGCATGTTCTTGAGGGAGTCAGTTATATACTCTGAAGGTTTGGATAAGGTCAACAGATGTTTAACAAACGAACGTCTCCATTGGTGTCGTAATTAATCTTAGGATGACCTATTAAATGTTTTAAAGTCAGTTAAAAATATATCGTGTTTCAATTACAATATCTTGTACATGTTTGCATACTCTCTAGTATGTCGTTATATTTTAAAGGGACATGGACACAGTTCCAACTGATTTTGTTTTATGTTTACAATTTCTAATTAAGGTCATTCAAATTATCAGCAAAAATTTGAAAATCATTTGTTGATTTACAAAGGAGATACAGAACTTAAATTTTTCATAATGTAAAGAAAACTTGTGCCTTATTTTTGTTTACATATAGAAAATATCATACTAATAACAAAAGGAGATTCAGCAAATCACTAGCGATTGCCTAATCTTATTTAGAATTAAGTCTTTATTGACAAAATCTGCTTCGAACGAACATATATAGGTATATCTAATCCTTGTAAACAAAAACATGGCATGGATCTTGTTTACATAACAAAGGTTTGGAGCTCTAAACCTGTCTTGTTTCCATCAACTGAAAATCATTTTTTTATAATCATTAAAAATACATTAAAGAAGTATTTTAAGCATAAAAAATGGAAAAAATAAATTTGAAAATTTTAAGCTGAAATTGTATTCATGTTTAATAGGCGCTGTTTACCTGGGTTTGGGATGAATACCTCGTATTATTTTGATTGAGCAATTTAATGACCTTTCTTTTTTATGAACTGAGATATAACCTTAATTGCTGAATCACACTTGAAACCCAACGCCCCATAGAATAATTTGCATCGCAACCTATCACATCCATCACAAAATAATAGTATTTGTCATTAGTGATCTGGAGACCTACTAACCAGATTGATCAGGTCTTTTAGAACCAGATATATGCAAAACAGTTATATTCATAGCACCATACGATAATGATTAGCCCGGGATCCCGAACTATAGGCATGATTTGTGGTTTGACACCGAGATTAGGCCAGCTTCTATTGGAATTCCACGAGAATATCATCTCAGTTAATAGTTCAGACTGTATCTCTTAAGTAATATAAAAGACTAAGCCCCCAGGGAGCTCTCTCTGCATATCAAGACAGCTAAATAGGCTGACATCATTTAGAATTCAACGAGGTCCTGTTCACTGAATCTATCAAAGTTTGGTATACTGCCTAATGAAAACTACGACAATTTCTTGCTATATACCAATATAAATATACCAGTTTTACATTAAAATAGCCATGCTTATTTTACAAATCCAAATAAGTGATCATGCATGCATGCAGCAGAAGGCCACGAATTACTAATAAGCTATGTACTTACCTATGATCCATAGACTAAGCCCAATCTGTATAATTTCTGGCCGACTCGTGCGGACAACAAAGTCTTCCGGAAGCGTCAGACGACTGTGGTTTTTGTACCAGAGGTAGTGTTTGTAGGGACCAGAAAAAGAGGAGAGGCGGGTGAGGTCCGTCGTCCCCTCAGCACTTGAGATCAAAATCATGACGAGAAAAGTTACAAAGGACATGGCATGCCCGATAAACTTAATACATGGATACTGAAGGAAGCGTCCAACCTGTAAACAAGTGTATAATTATGTTAATGTCGCCGATACACATGTCATTATAAAAATATATTTTCATTTCTAAATGATTTTCTGTGATAACTTTTTGAGAGTTTTAATGCTGATTTCTCGATAATTACATCTAAATGCAAATTTCGCCAAGTAAAATTTACAGACCATAATAATTATGCATTTCAATTTACGGCTGTTTTTATATTGTTTCCGAAGTCCGTGGGCGGAGACTATTAGAATTAACATGGAAGGCCTCATGGATTTTAAATCTATCTTATATTCACATTTTTTTTTCAAATATATAAGCAAATATAAGAAATCATTGTCTACTTTTTGGGGTATCCTAGCGACAACAACGGCAGTTGGAAACCTGGGATTATATTTGCTAATTAACCCGTTATGCAAATTATCCCGCGTTTCAAACTATCGCTGAAGCCCTTGCGTGGCATACCCAACAAACTAGACAGTGATTCGTTGAGTAAAATATCATATAAGTACTTACTCTACAATTATATTTTATATTTTAAAAAAAATTTTAAGAACACATTGATTTTCACCAGAAAAATTTGCCCCCAAAATTGTGATTTTGCAGTAACTACGTTATCTACTCATTTATAAGTAAAACACCATCAAGTTCAATACGAATGTAATTAAATCTACGAAAAAGCTTTATACACTTAGGAATATTATTGTATGAGTATTTTTTTAAGGAATCATTGTCTAGTTAGTAGAGTATGCCAGGGCATCAAACATAGTTGGAAACGTGGGATAATTATCCCACGTTTCCAAGTATCGTTGATCCAAATATGTCCCTTGCATAATCTACTAACTACACAATAATTTCTCATATTTCAATTTCATTGTGAAATAAAATTGCAAATTTAAATTTAAAAAATGTAGACGAATAGATTTAAATTACAGGAAGCCTCCCATGTGAATTTTGAATGTCCCCGCCCTCTGATGTCAAACACAAAGACAGACGCACGAGATTTACATGCATATTGCCTTTTTAGCGTCAAACACAAAGACAGTCGCACGAGATTTACATGCAAATTAGGCTCTTTTGCTCCTTACTTATCAGTGGGCGAAATTTACATTCTGGTAGAATGATCAAGAAATCAACTCAACTAACTTTCAAAGAGTTATCACATAGAAAACAAATAGAAACGGAAATATTAAGTATCATAAATATAAGTTAACATCTCTCTCTTTTACAATTCTTATATATGTATTTCCATTTGTATACCGTTATGTTTAATGGTCATATTTAAAAGATATTCATGGGAGGAGATCATTCAAACATCACTCCAGGTTTAAAATGTTTTTAAAAAAGTAATTCTTCTTTATCATCGAATTTTCTTTAATGTATTCGAGTTGAAATACATCATATCATAGGTTTATTAAATTTATATTCGTGAATAAATGAACTATAAATGAACTAGGAAATTGATTAAAGTCAATTATAGTACATACAGATGTTTTTTTTTTTCTTAGAGTGTTTAATTTTCTAAAAAAAAAAAATCAATATTCTGAAATGAGCAATTGTAGCATAATGATTCGATATGCTGTAGTTATATAGAAAAAGACAAAAGAGAAAATTAGCAAAACATAAAACGATTAAAATTATCTGTCGCATTTAGAAATGTGTCAAAATTCCTGATGCTTTTATAAAAACCAGTAGACCAATTCAAATGCAATATTATTTTCAAAGTGTATTGAATGAGAAATTTATGTCAGAATCCTTAAGATATTTAAGAATCTTTCCGATTATCAAGTGTATGTCAAACACCCATTAACCCTAACACTTGAAAACGTTCTTGCGTGAAATTTAGAGGAACGCATCTGCTCTGTACTTTTGAGTGAAAATGTAGTCTATTGCTCATCCGTTAAACAGTTAAAACAGTTACATCTTGATATCCTTTAGTGTTCCTTTGAACCAGTTTATTTTAGAGGATTATGATGATTAAATTTCTTTATTTTGAATCTAAGTACAATCCGTTTCATCTAGGTTTTTTTACTAATCAAGCTAGACGAAATTTTCTAATTTCCCTGTGAAATCTATGTTTAATATCATTTATTTCTGGTCCGTTCAACAGATTACACAGTGTAAAGTGTGCATATTGTGTATTATTAGCTCTTTTGATTTCCTTTATAATTTTAATTAATCAAGGGCTATTATACGTGGAAAATGAATAAAGAAAAAGTAAATAGAAATACCCGAAATTACTAATTATAAGTGGAACAGTTTAGTATTGAAATAGTGTGTTTTCTGTTACAGTACATTTTCGGTACCTTATGTTATAATGCTTGCTAAAGAATTGGTTAGTAGACGGGTGATTATACCTTAGAATGTGGAGCGAACCAGTACAGAATGGCCAGTAATGGGTACACCGAGGTGACCCCGAACACCATCAGAGACCGGAAGAACCAGTTAGAGCGCTCCATAGCCCTCAGGTCATTATACCAAATACTGACCAACTTCTGCTGACAGCTAGGGTGGGCCACAAACTGTAACCAAATGATCATGGTATAATTAGAACATCTTGATGACTTCTATACTTATCATAAGACGAGATATATAATTGAATTGATTTTTACAGTGAAGTGATTTTCCTTCCCCGAAGTTTAGAATATATTGTAACCTAAACGGATATAACAATAACGTTTATAATGAAGAAAAATCGTACGTCTCTGACACTACGTTATAAGCGTGTTTTACTTTATATCATTCTGATATTTTCTTATTTTTCTTCCATTTCATTATAATCATGATACATTTTTAACTTTAAAAGCGAACATCAATTAAAAACAAATCTTCTCAAAGACTGTTATAAATCAGAACGAATTGAAAACAAATCTTTTATCAAAGACTGTTATAAATCAGAACGAACGACAAACAGTTTTTCTTGAAATTGAAGTCATTCACCTTGTAAAGAATATTGTTTGTGATAGTGGACATATCACTTATTTTACCAATGCTGATAAATCAAAAAAAAAAAACTTCAAAGATGTAATTTTTGTAGAATGTTAACAAGAAATCGAAACTTAAAGATCGTTAACCTCCTGTCAGATTTGAAGATTCTGATTTATTAAACTAACTATATGTCTAATATGATGATAAAGAACAAAGAAACAGGTAATGGATGGACATTAGATTCATGTTTACTAGTTTCTCAACTCTTCTTTTAATTCATTATTAAGGACAGACACGAACAAAAATTGATCTCTGAATTGGTATATACATAGATATATTTTTAATTTAGTTGCAAAAGGGAAAAAAAATAACTTTTTAAATTATTGAGAAAATATAAACTTTCAACATTACACTTTTCTGTAACCAACTTTCTTTTTAATCTATACAAGTTTATGTCACTTTAAATCTCATATTTGATAAATTTTGGACACAAAGTGAAATTTTTGTGGTTAAACTGATTCATTTCAGTAAATAAATATGACTCAAGTTGTTATTTTGCTTGTTTGTTTGTTTGTTTTTAATTTTGGTTTGATTTCTTTTATCAACAAACTAATGCAAGAAAAATATGAATTATTTAAAATAACTTACTTTCTTTTCATTGTAATGAATTGCCAATTTCAGTCTGGATAATTGTTCAAATGTTTCATCATCAGCCTCACGTTTCTTTTTATTCAAAAGTTTTTCTAGTTCGTCGTGACCTCTAACCTTGTCCAGTAATCGAACCACATACTCACTTAATTGATCTGCTAATGCTAAATAATCACTCTGAAAGTAAACCAAAAAAATTACGACAAAACAGAAATTAAAATATATCATCAAGATTTTGGAGGCATTTTGGATACATCATTACTATAAATCATACAATTTATCTCTAGAGATGTACAAAATAAAAGGAATATCTTTAATTTAGACGCTAGTTATTTGGGGTTTTCTTGGCTTTGATTAAGGGATGTCAAAGTGTTCTAGATAAGTAGAAATTTCTTAGGAAAACAAGAATATTGATTAAATGTTCTGATAGATATTGCAATGTGTTACTATTTTCTCATCTGACATTCTTTGAATTCTCACCTTATAATATTTTTCAACTTTTGCCACACATCTGAGCTCCCTGGCAAGTTCAAATGCAGTAAGTATTGGATCGTTACTAGACAAAGATATATAGGCACTACTGGCCAGTCCCCTGTAGGCGTTCAATCGAGTTTTGGCTAATCGTAACTGGTCAAAGACCAGTTTGTTACTACACTCCTGACAGTTACAGTAGTAATGATGGGGCTTCCTGATTGTCTCCCCTCTTAACAACAAAAGTTGGACAATCTCAAACTGATTCCTTTCTGCTGCGAGTATAAGAGGTGTAATATCAGAAGAAAACGGAGAGTCTTCACTGGTCGTATTAAAGAAGTAATCCGTCTCTCCAAAACGTTTGTTTTCTCGTTTGACGTCTCTGTACTTGGGATGTTTCAATATTGTCTCAGCAATTTGTTCGTGACCTGCACTTATAGCTTGTAGCAGAGCTTCGTGGATGCTGGAAGCGTTTGAACGATCAAGTAGCAGTTCCACAACCTGCCATTGTAATACAAAATACCACTTCTAAGTGAGTGGTTTTTAAATGTGCAACTACACTTCAAAATACAATTAAACTGCAGAATATCTCTTTAACTCTAAAAAAGTTAATTACTTCTGAAGTTCTAGATGAATAAGAGTTCTGAGTTGCTGTTATATTTATTATGATCTTCTCTATTTTTTTTTCAAGTCTACCTATTTTTGGTAATTAGTCTCTCTTTAAATAGTTTGTCGATAGCAATCCATAACACTTTATATTCACATCAGTGTTGTATGATATTGAACAGATGCTGAGAGGCTCTCAGTGAAATATAAATTACCTCCAAGTGTTCATTGCCGACTGCTAGGCGAAGTGGAGTGCGACCAAGGATGTCGTTGAAATCAACATTGAAGCTCTGATGTTCCTCCAAAAGTCGTTTTACGGTCGGAATGTCCCCAAACTCAGCGGCAAAAATAAACTCCTCTTCAAGATCTGACAGCTAAAATTTAATAATTTCATGTTATTATTATAATCAATGATGGTTACATAAATAAAAAAGAGACACTCTCTTCCTCTGTTTTCGCCAATTTCATGGCCAGTAACTTTACGGTTGTTAAATTTTCATTTTACATAAACTTAAAACATATTTGTGGATAACAATGCTTAAGGTATGTTTATTGTCGTTTTTATTTATTCTTTGTTTTTCTTTATTGTTCTGTGAGTTGAATTTTAGTTTCAAATTTCAGTGATGCCATACAAGTACATATTTAAATTCGATTGAAGTTTATTCATCTCAAGGCACCTTGTTAGTTTTATCTTTCCTGAAATATTTATTACGATTTTTTCTATTAATATTTCCAACATATTTGTTTCTTGTGCCCAAAGCAACAAAAGAGTAATGATACAAAGATGCATGTAAAGTGCCCTATCTGCTGGGATTCTGCTTTGTTTTATTGATTGATTGTGCTAACTTAGTGCACCTTATATTCTTCCCATTGCTGTATTTAGAATGTTCAGGCGCGAACGAATTGATCATTTCATAAGCTGTACAGCCTACCTATTAACTTGGCGTGATTGACCAGTGCAAATCTAAAGTATAAGATATATTTGTCATGTTTTAATGTACATGTACCTTGTCTTTGCAACATTTGAGAATATTTGCGCATTACATTGTGCCAGGCGTTGGTTTTGTGGTAGTGTCTAGAATCAACAATGTCCATGCAGTTGCAGAATCAAAATAATAAGCGACAGTACCTTAAATTACTTTTCCCCCTTGAAACTGGGTAAACAAACAAAACAGGAGAAAATACCATTTGTCTTTGTAAGATTCGTTATTTTAGCTGTATTTTTAGAGGTAGTCAGATTTAATTCTGTAAGTCGTATTCAAACTTATACCCATAGTTTCCTTTGTAAGTAAAGGGGATTCCTAAAATTACAGTTTGTATAAGTGGAACATATATATTTATCCCTTGAGATTATAAAAACCGCAAAAATTTGACACATCTGTTTTTTATTTCGGAAAAAGTTGTTAACTTGGCAAAGAAATTTTATGATAAATGTGATAAATGAGAAATCCAGACAAGAAAAATAGAAGGACATGTCCTTCAATTTTTCTTGTCTCGATTTCTCATTTATTTATCAATATATCCATTTTATTCTGCATAAGAACTTTACACATGTACTTCACCTGCTGGTTCGAACAATTTCTAAAACGAGGCAAACTGTTGGAAAAAACTTGATGAATTAAGAATATCATCATTTTGCATACGTATTATTGGTTGAAAAAATGATCTTGTCAGCAAATACAATCTTTCGTTAAGTGGACTATTGGCTGATTTTCCATACATACTGTAGGGCCATTAAACACGCACTGAAGTTTCTACGAATTTGTGTGTTTGCCCGATTATGACAAGGAGCACACGGCAGCCGGTGGGAAAGGTCGAGGGGAAATGCTTACTCCTTACTGCACCTGATCCCATTATTGATATTTTTAGAGGTCCGTGTTGGTTCTGGTCCCCATTTGTATATTTTTGTGTTTGCTCTGCTCCAATTTTGTTTTGTTTTGAGCTTGAATACTGTTTGTTTTCTACATATGTTTCATTCTATGACGTTTGGGTATAATAATTATTCGTTATCTATATTTCAAGTTCAAAAAATTGAAAATATAAATTTACAAAGTTTCATCGTGAATTTCAATAGAATACGATTCACGCACATGTAGTTATAACCTGAAAAAAGCGTTCTGCTTATTATCATTAAGAAAAATACCTTTGAAGCCTAGATATCTCATTACCACAGCTTCAAACAGTTTTCAATGGTTTTCCTTGATTTACAGAACTCAAAAATTAATCTTCTCTGTTTACAGCAGCTTCAAAACACAAGCCCTATATTGTTATTGTAAATTATAAAATAATCAACTGAGGCAGACAGCAGAAAAATGAAGTGTGTTCTAGAATAATGACGTCTCTGTCTTTAAGATCTAGAACACAACATTCATAGTAATAGAGGCTGCAAATTTAATAAAATGGATGAATTCTCGTTCCACATACTTTTATATTTTCATTCATGATAATTGTTTTCACTTGAGTGCATGCTTTTATCAGGATGTCGCCAATAAAACTGAAGAGAACCATTTTATAAATCATCCGAAAACTGAAAGCATGGCAGAAATGAGCGTAAAACATAAAAATTCTTGATGGTGTATACTTTTCTTAAACAAAATGTTATTGGCTACCGATTTCTGTGTTTTACAGACAAGTCATTTAACTTTGTGGGTTATAAGATATATTACTACCTTTGTTTATTAGAAAGAGAAGCTTGAATTGGCAAGATCTCTACCAACGGCGATATTTATGAATTAAAAAAAAAATACATTTAAGGAATCACTGTCTAGTTAGGAGAGTATGCCAGGGCATCAACAATAGTGGGAAACATGGGATAATTTGCATAACGGGCGAAGCCCGTTATGCTAAAATTATTCCATGTTTCCCACTATTGTTGTTGTCCCTAGCATACTCTCCTAACTAGACAGTGATTCCTTATATTTTCATTGAAATAAAATGGTAGATTTAGACTTTAAAACTGTAGAAATAGACTTAAATTACACGAGGACTTCCATGCCAATTTCAATAGTAATCGCCCAGTGACGTCAAACACCTAGGCAGCTGCACGAGATTTACATGCAAATTTTGCCACCTTAGCGTCAGACATAGAGACAGATGCGCACGAGATTTGCATGCATTTTAGGCCTCCTAAGCTCCTGACCTTTCGACCTGCTAATTTACATTCCGGCAGAATTATCAAGAAATAAACTCCGACAACTTTCAAAGAGTTATCGCAGAGAAAAAAATTAGAAATGGAAATATTTTTAGATTTTAAAATCTTTACTGTAATTTTTTTTCCCATTTCCTGAGTTTCCAGAGGTTCGTTTTTTTGTTCTGTTTATAATCTAGAATCATTATCAGATTAACAGGATCGATCAATCTATTTATTATCCTTACAATATATTGCATATAATAAAATGATAAAAACTCATATCATTATTTCATTGTTTTCAGAAATTCTAAATGGTAATGTGAAAATTAGAATGTAGCCCCTGTATCAATGATTTAACTTAAGATTTTTTTAAGTGTTAAAAGTGTTATATATTTCTGAATAAAACCCATGGAGAATGGAGATAACAAACATTATTATACTTCTGTTAAACTGTTTGCTATATAAAGTTCAGAAGGTAAAATAACGATCTTTTATAGTTCACGCATAGCAAAGCTATACCCCGGGTATAGTTTTTGCTATCCACCCTCGGAAAATTTTCATGCAATTTTTGCCGCCAATTTTGATTTCAAGCGATTATTTCTATTGACTAATGATATCGATGTCATAATGACTTCAGTAGCATTGTGACATCATAAGGATTTCAGATTATTCTTGCAGTATTATCTTACTCCAAAAAATGCAAACCTCAGAAATTATATTATACATCAGTATAATAAAACGCTTATCCACTGGTTGTGAGTGGGATAGCTCTTTTATCAAACCCTTAACAGGGACTATTCCCCTCGGGCAAGCCCTCGGGCAATAATTCCCTGTCGCGGGTTTGATAAAAGAGCTATCCCACTCGCACCCATACAAGTGTATATTATTCAAGCTGAAAGTCCATTCAAAAAGTGCAAATCAGGAGCAGAGCAAACACGGACCTCTAAAACATCAGAGGTGGGATCAGGTGCCATTGAGGAGATAGCATTCCCTGCCAACCAGTCACAACCGCCAAGTGCTCTTTGTCTTGATCGGGAAATAGCGGAGAGTAAAATTCGTCGACAATTCGGTGCGTAAATTGTAACAATTACTCTGGAAAACTTCAGTCAGCATTTGACTCTAGGTAATTTTAGATTGTTCATTGTATCGATCATAGAACTTATGAAAAGATGACTTAACTGATATTGTTGCTGTTCCTCTTTCATCAACTTTTTATCAATGAGTTACCTCGTTTTTAGAAGTTGTTGGAAATTTTAGCTAGAAGATAAAATTGTGTTTTCCTAACTTTAATAATATGTTTCTTTTTTGCCCAAGTATAACCAACTCTGTTATGCTATCATTAGAATATTGTTCTTACCGCTCCTTTATTGTGTTTTTCTCTCCTGGGACCGTTTATATAATTTAGTACTTATCAGTTCTTTTTTCCTATTTCCTTTAGAAGACTATCTGTATTACTGCCTTCAAAAGTCGGTACTTTTCCATTGCTTTTTCCCCTCTACTTTGACCCTGCTTAAAAATACGGTACTCACCAGTCTTGTACTTTTTTTGTACAGTAATTATACTTAGGAAACGGTACTTACCTGTCCTTTACTGCTGCTGGCTTTCTCACTGGACAGGTTCAGACGGGATAGAGACTTTTTGTCCTTGTGTGATTTGTACGGCATGCTGTCGTTTACGTCATTGCTACGGGTCGCTGTAAAGACAAATAACAAAGATCACAATTTCCATTATTCATCAGAATTGTTCCTCTATTTATAAACCGGCCACAAGGACAAGTGTCAGAGGACAACGAACATTTAACTGATGTTCTGTACGTCCAGATCTTTATCCGAAAAGTATTTTGGAGAAAACAAATCTCTAAAACAATTTTCTCAGTTTGTGCGTGTATATTTTCACGTGACTTTCTGTTACAAATACTAAAGAGATTCAAATAGATGATAAATTGCTCAATTATATAAATGTAACCATGGAAATCAGGTAGTTTCAGGTGAGGTAATCTGGATAATTATCACTGATTTCCCCACTGGTTCTACACAGTAATGACCATCTTTTATGTGAATTAAATAATATATTCCAACCCAAGCAAAGACATTAAAATTAGATAAGCAAGTAGTATAATATGATACCTGTACAATTAATTAAATGAGACGAATCAAACAGAGGTTTGCATGTGTCCTTAATATTTGATCTTGGTAATTTATCGTATTTATCATGTTCCTAAAATCAGTTGACACCCGTCTACTTAAATATAGCTGAATAAAATATCAAACATTCAACAATGAATATATATGATATGAATAAAGTGAAATGAGAGGTGCGCGAAGATAAATTTGCAAGCGCTGAAACTTGGTTATCAATAAGAAATCAAACTCTTCCACTTTCTGGAAAAGCGGTATGTATTTTGTATCACTAAAACAATTCCTACAGCTTGTGGTCTTTATTTACAGGGTTGTGTGTAAGTAAGTACAATATCCTCCCCAGCAGTTCCTCGAAAGAAATCAAGATTAAGTCGGCATGGAATCGGCAGAGAGACAGTATAATCACAAGTTACCATCTACCGAAGGTAATCGATTACAAGCAGGTGCCTTCAGTGTGGGTTGGGAAGGGCAAAAACCGACACAGATGATCAGACAAAGAAAGAAAGATTGGTTTATTTTCTCTTTTTTCCGAAAATGTCAGAGGTATATTTTTACTACAACTATATAAAAGTAAAATACATTGAAATTAAATTTAAAGAACAAGAACAAATATTCAATAGAGTTAATAAAACCATTTTACTTTTATGCTAATAATATTTTCTAACGATTAAATTAATTAAATAATCGATTACTTAAAATTTAATTTTACGCTTTTCATATTTTATGAAATTTTCATAATCAATGAAATTTAAGGCTTATTTTCAATATGAAGATGACGAACATTTATCGGTTTCGAAAGTCCGTTGAAACACTATTAATCAGAGGGAAAACAAACACGGATCTCTAAAACTTCAGCGGTAGGATCAGATACCATGGAGAAGTAAGCATCCCATGTCGACCACTCACACACGCCATGTGCTCTTTTGCATAATTTTGACTTATTTGTAAAGAGACTGACTTCATGTGAATAATAAATCGTACGTTTAGGTACATAAAACGAGATAGAGAAAAAAGAAAAGTGTTCCACACACATATGGGGTAGGGGGAGGGGTTAAAAAAATCAGAACCGTTGCTTACAAGCTTTAAACTAATTTCATATATTCCTGATCAGCATCACGTAACATTTACAGGTAAAAAAAAATGAAGTTTTGTCTCTTTACTTCAAATCAGGAATATTTTTAATTCACATTAAAAATTATAGTTTCACCACTTGTAATTGTTGTCGTAGTTAATCTTCTATGATGTCAGGTTTAGTTTTACTATGCAGGACATGTAAATTCACTAGATGACAAAATAATATATACCCGATCTTGCATTTTTGACATCAAATTTGAATCGGAATGTTACATTCTGATTCTTTATCCTAATCCACGTTCATAATTTAAAAAAAAATAGATTCGTTTAAGATTAAATTCTTAGATAGATCAATGATTATTTAATCGAGATAAAAATTTTGCAACTTGCTAGGGTTCTTAAAACCTATTAACTTCAATTCTTGCAACAAAGAGTTTTGGAAAAATGGCAGGACTATATTTTTGGCCATTTCAAGGGAATAATTATATCATGTTTTAAACATACAAATTGAATGCTTTATGAGGTATGACACTTAATAGATTTTATTTCCATTTTTAGAAGTGACTAGGATCAAATATAGATAGAAATAGCTTTGGGGTTCTGAATTGTAAATCCTGCTCTTTGGCATATTCTGTCAATGCTGAAATTTTGTATGTGAAAATATGATACATTTTATATCTTTAATGTTCTCTCTCTTAATAATGATTATCAGATATACAAATGAATCCGCCCACAAGATAAATTAAGATATTTGAGATGAATCAATTCGTGTCATCAAAAAGTATGATAAGATCAATGATTCTGAGTTAAACGCAGAATATCTTTTAAATTTCACATTGAAATGCTAGGTATAGTTTATTTATTAAAATCCTCAACTGGTCTTTACAACTTTTTTCAATGAAATAATTTCTTTATATTATTTTTTTTCTTGATATCATCTAGCTATTAGAAAGAACAGGCTTGATAACAACGATATGGTTGGTATTTTGACTCTTAGAATTATAGAGAAACAATGAATTAAATACACTTGTTACTAATTACTTTAGAATAAGGAAGTACTTACTGGTCGGGAATGTAGAACAGCGCTTAAGAACGCAGTACTTGTATTTTCTTTTTTCCGCCTGCATGATGAGAAGAGCCGAGAAACCTCAGAAGCTAGTCTATTTCATGTCGTAATGAAAAGTTTTTCCCTACATCTTATGAAATCCTACATTCATTATGTAATTTTCCAGCATAATGAAGATAATAAAAGAAAACGTGACGTAATTTATTTAGTTCACGATATCCACAAACTTCTTAAATCTGGCCGTCAATTACATTTTCTTAGAAACTGTTGGATCAAAATCCAGACCTCAAGAGAATATGAAACGTACTCACAATAAAAGCCGAAGCTAACACTTTAAACGTTGGAATAATTTGTCCAACAAAGCATAAGGAATTTTCATAATCGATTGGGGATTTTTTGTTCATTTACCAAAAAAGGATTACTCCTCTGTTCTAGCATACTCAGTCCATACAACAACAATAGAAGGAATGGGAATCTAAGTGTTGATTAACCAGAAACCGTCATTCTGTTCGGTGAAGACATCCGTCGTATCGGTCTATTCTAATTGGAACATTTCGTAAACGACCATAGGGAACGAAACTATACATGTACATCATAAAGACAAAATAAATATTTATTATTTCTAAGTAGAGAGGGATTGTTTTGTCGGGCAAAGGTCAACAATCAAGAAATTACATGTTCTGTTGTGCATTGGTATATTTTCAATCGTCACTGGTAGATCTAAATGCTGCTTTACATGAAATTTGTGTCAGAATGTCTGTTACTTTTCCCTTTTTTTTTATTTAATTATTTTCCATCTACGGCTATTCTCGAAAACCAAAATTCTAAAGTTTGATATAACTTTTAATTGTAATTATTCAAATAGCTGAAATTTACTTACCAAAAACAAAATATTTATTAAGAAATTAAACCTCCCCTTGATAGAAACCATATCACTGCTGTTTTCCTTATGAACAACCTGTGAAATTTTGAACGATTTGTTTGTATTTAGAAGAGAGTGCCGAACAGAAGGTCTGAGAAATGGCATTTTTACTGTTCTCGTTTTTCAACGAACCTCCGTGCCAAAACGGATATAACGGAGCTCTGAAATCAAGCGATCACGCGCCATTTAATGTACATGTTAGTTTGCCATGCTGTATATCGATATATCAAGCAGTGTCTTTACATGTATTGAATATCGATAAATCATAAATCTAATCGTTATTTAGTATAACATGGAATATCGATAAATGAAGTTAATTTTTCCAGATGCTATATAGCTATTCTCCCCCTTATCAAAGTATGCCACCAGTGCAATGCTTCAACAACCAAAAAATCAAAATGGTGGGATAGAATATTGAAAATGAAATATTACTAAATAAAACATGTGTAGCACAGTGTTTCGTGTTTCACTTCGAAAACAAGATATTTCTTCGGTTCAAAAAGATGCTCTCTTACTTAAAGGTGATATATCTTTCGTGTAGGAGCTATTTCTCTTAGAAAGATATCTTTAGGTGTTAAAGACATACACGTAGCGCTTTTAAAAGAGAGAAATATCTTTTGAAAAGATTTATTTTCATAATAAAGAGGAGGTCATTACTATCATATAAAATATTACTGTTGTCATCACTATATAAAAAGCGCCACGCGTTAAAGAACGTCATGAAAGTTTTCTAACGGTGATGGCAACCGTCATTTCTTCGATGATGTAAACAACTACATGTATGTTCAGTCACACGACTTCTCACACTTAAAATATATAGTTTCAAATGCACTTTATATACAGGGTATTAACGAAAATCGAATAAGAAAATTTGAATAGAATTGACTACGTAATCTATCCATTATTCTATATATGGCTCACGGCAGGTTTGAAGAGAAAACATGGGATTATTGTTTGTCCTAGGCACCTGATCCAATCTCTGGAATCTCCAGAGGTCTGTGTAGTATGCCCTCTTCATAGAATTTTACTGTAAATAATTTATTTTTACAGAGCGAGGCCTGTTCGTTATCTTCACCCTCGACATTAAATAACCTTCATTTTTAAACAAAATAGCAACAAGTATGTAAGGAAGACCTTGACACTTTGTCAGAATAGATCAAAAGGATCATATGTGTGTTAAAATTGCGCATTAAGCGATTGAGGGGCAATATGAAAACCATCTATCCTTCTGTATTCAATAATCCAGAAGTAAAAAGAGAATTGGATAGATAACATGATCAGTACGTACTGGTCCCTGCAGACAAAGTAGGTAACAACATTGTCTTTGTGGATGTAAGGTTCATTATATAAGATGTATTTTAGAGGAACTTGGATTTAATTCTACTTGTGGCAGTCCAATTTATACTCATAGTTTCCTTTTTAGGGAGGAAATTCTTCAAAATAATTTGTCAGTTTTGAATATTTTTAATATTCCAAACAAACAAATGAATTTGAATTACCATATCTATTTTTAATTCCGAAACTTCATTAAAATCCTTACTAACAAAGATATATAGGGGATTCCAATTCATGTTCTACAAATTGCAAGCTTCTTTCTTTACTCATCACTAAAATATTAACAGTAGTGAAGAGGAAACTTCAAAAGTACTGTGCAACAGTATATTTGTGAAGTGATGTAAATCAGATGTGGATACTAAAAAAAACTAAAGGAACTTTTTGAACAATTGAAATCACAAAACTTTACCAAAATCAACAACATAAAAACTTACGACTTTGCAACTTATACAAGTATTCCTCACGATAAATTAAAATCCTGGGGCCCGTTTTACGAAAGAACTTAAGACTATGACCAAAAACTTCAGAGATGATTGTAAAATTTTGCAAAATTAAGAATTCTTTTTCCAAAATTATGTGTGTTAAAATATCTTACCACATTTTTTTTAATAATATGAAAATAATTTTCAATCGATGTTTATTACAAAGTCATACGAAGAATTAGATTTGGTCTTAAGTCGTAAGTCCCTTTGTAAAACGGGCCCCAGGCCTTTTGATATCATTGACAGCTGATTTTCTTTTCCAATTAAAACCAAACTCGTAAATGTGCATTGTCACTGGTCATTCGCAAAATTATTTCGTAAAAAACATTCTGATTATACACGCAAATACTTTGAATTGATAATAAAAAGATGTTTCTGATTGACAATAGCTATGTGGTTTTTGGAGACCACGTGACCAAGATACCTATGTTTTTGTTAACTATATATCCATAAAGTTTTTATTTTTTGTCTACCAACCCACCCATTGAATCAAAATATATCTATATAATCATCCAATTCTGTATATTAAAAAACAAAAATTATATACAGAAGCAATGAAATGAGGTTCAAATTAAGGGCTGTATCGAATTGAATTAGAGATCGTCGTGTGTTTCTTTCGACCAAAAGTAGGCAATTATCCAGGTAGTATGTGAAAATAATCAGCCCAAAAACTTTCATAATATTTTTTGTTAAGAGTCTGTAGTTTTTTCTGAAAATAAAGAACTGTTTGCTTTTGTTTGTTTTAAGAAAATGACCAGACGGTAGTTCACTAGCTACATGTAGGTTGTTGTTCATTAGTTTTAACAATGGGTAATTGAAGCGTCATATTAAGGTTTATTGCTTAAAAGAGCAATGTCTGAAATTCTGGACACAAAGATCATTTTTCAAGAAAATTAGATCATTTGGGAAGACATAACCATCGCTTCATATACGGATAATTGTGATATATTTCTACATGTATAGGGGAAAGTTGACAATGGAAAATCATCATAATATTTATGTCATTTGCCAGTGGGTCATTCCTCTTATTTATACGTTCATGGAGTAAAACACCCAAGTATGAGGCAGATGTCGCAGATTCTTTTGTGTCATTTACTTCGAAACCTTTGAGTTGACATGAAATTCAATGAATATTAATTTCATTAATTGATAAAACGTCCATGAAATATGTTTAAATTTAATCCACAGCAAGAAATTTCATTTCTTTCTGGTATCTGCTGGTTCTTAAAGCTCTTTCCCCCTCTCTCTTTTTTCTTTCTCTCAGAGGGATATCTATTTCTCTTTAACAAAAGCATCAGGGAGTTGTCTTGTTAATAAATCTCCTTGCCATGACGTCGACCTTTTTTTTTAGCGGAACTGATATCTAACTCGCCTTAGCCGATAGTTTAACATACAAATCTATAAAACAGGCATCAAAACACTCCATCAAATCGCTCGATAATCACCATCACAATGTAGCTAGTCTGTGTCAATTTGATATAAGATTCAAAACCATCAGAGATTTTTCCGTTCAAAATGACGATTCTTCCACATATCATGTAAATATCCTAACAGTAGTTTTAAAGTTCTTTAAGAATTATACGACATAATCGTTTTTGTTTCTGGATTTTTCGAGTGTCAGAATCTTTTTTATCATCATATTGTATCAGTACTCTGTGGTGCCTCCTCTATGATTTACAATCACGTATTCTGTTTCTCTTCAAACAGCAGATAAGTTAGCTATTTGAATTATGAATAAAACAACAACAAATCACTAGATTGTCCTATGATATATGGCTGTATTTCATCTATTATACAATTTCATTCCAATAGATTTAAAACAAATTCAATTTTCCAACAAGTTCATACTCATTGAAAGAATGATACAAAAACACCACATATCTTTGAATATAATACATGTATCAAAATTCGGCTTCTTTATCAGTAGTAAATATTTCAAGCATTAAAGAAAATACACTCGTTGGAAGTCACTTTAATGCTCTTTAAACCACTTGAAACTGTGTCTGTTTTCTTTGTGCTATGTTTTTATTTCTTAGAGATTTTTTTCAGAGTGGATAATATATTTAGTAAATAAAAGCTTTAGTATTATACATCTTATACCATTGTCAGGTACACTCTCAAAACATTCTATACATTTCACTCAAATACATTCATCTTTGAAATCAAATGTAAAAACTGGAATAAAAAAAATCATTATTAGCCCTGTTGATTTTTATACACATTAGAAAGATCACCGATAAAACATGTACGTTCATCGACTAACTAATAACACTTAAGTTACTCTTTTGAACAATATCACTAATCAAACATTTCTCTGTTTAGCTTCATTAAATGGTCAAAATCCAAACAAAAGGCAATAAGACGCGCAGCAGTTCTCGTTCTAAATTTGATATACTGAAAAATAATATCCCCAACAGACGAAACTAAATGACGTGTGTACCATTGTAACATGATAAAATATTGACAGAAGATCTTCAATTTCTTCGTTCCCACTCAGGAACAAGAACAATCCCTTGCTCCTTCTCTAAAAAAGCCAATTTGGAAATATTAAGCCATTTAGTGACAAGTCAAAACCTCATCGTCTCTGCTTTTTCTTAGACTTTCAGAATTTATTACTTAATTACACCCCGATTACGACACTTCTGTATTGATTTAATTGTTGTTTATTTTCGTTATATTATATAATTGCTTAAATGTATTAAGTAACATAAGAGGATCTTGAAATAAGTCTAATTTCATCTAAAATATCAAATATCCAAAAAATAAAGCATGAGTAAGTCTACAATTTTGATTTTTATAATTTTTCTTTTGATCTCTTACCGAAATATAATATTTAGCTCAAAATTTTTTCTGGAACTTTTAGTTGTTTTGAAACTTTTATTTACCTTCATCCAAGAGGAACTATGAACTAAAATATTGATAATGAAAAAAGGTATCCAAAAAAAGGCGTATTTAAGATGCTTACAGGTAAGTCGATTTGCTATTCCGTAACCAAAGATAACGAACTTAAAAAATAGTTTGTTTTCGGCGGAGTCAGGTCTCAATAAATGAAGTGATTCTGCATTTCTTTCAAAAATATTGACATTAAGCAAAGATAAATTACAGTTAATGATGCACCTCTGTCAAGAAAATGAACAGACAATATGAGAGATCAAATACCTAATTAAAGAAATCTAGTATCTAAACAGAGGCAATCAAAGAATCATGTCTTTTACTTCTGTTTTAGCAAAAGAATTGACATTGGCTTAATGAGGCAGCACCTTTTGTCCGTGTGGGGTAGATTTCCCAAGTATCTGAGTTCTG